AAGTCTGACTCACAGACGAACACAATACAGAAGCCTGATGATGGCAGATGAGATTCTGCCGAAACGTTGCTACAACTTTAAAAGCACAACTACAATGACGTGGGAAAATACCCGAACAATACCATACATATATAAAACTCTGTGAACTACCTGGACAATTCTTTACAATGTTAAAAAAGCTAACCCTTCCTTTCAAATTATATAGCATTATGTTTTCTTGTGCTTAGGATGATGTGGGCAGCTGGAGCTGTTGCAGCCATGTCAAGTATCACATTCCCAGCAATCAGTGCTCTTGTGTCACGAAATGCAGATTCAGATCAACAAGGTGAAAGCAGACTTATTTTTCTACAAAACTGATCTTGTAGCTGTTCCCCTCCCGCCCCAGCATCACTGAGGATGTATAATTTTTGTGCTTTACAAAAGTAATACAGGTAGTCTTTTACCTACAACCACAATTGATCCCAAAATTTCTGTTGCTAAATGAGTTTTGCCCCATTTTACGATCTTTCTTGCCACAGTTGTTAAGCAAATCACTGCAGTTATTAAGTTAGTAACACAGTTGTAAATTTGACTTCCCCATTGACTTTGCTTGTCAGGTCACAAAAGGTGATTACCTGACCCCGGGACACTGCAAAATATGAGTCAATTGCCAAGCATCTGAATGCTGATCACATGAGCCATGGGGATGCTGCGTGTGAAAAATGGTCCATAGGTCTCTTTTTTTCAGTGCCGTTGCAACTTCAAACGGTCACTAACTGAACTGTAAGTTGACGGCTTCCGGTTAGTAGTCTTGTAGTAGCTTTTGAAAGCAATACAGTCTATATCTTTTATTGCCCCTTGTGCACGCAAGAAGAGGTAAGTTACACATACTGTGACTCTTCATAAATGATATTTCTTTAGCTTGGAGAATTTTTTGAGGGCAATTTTCCTTTGGGGATATAACCTATGTGGAGTAAGAAGCTCCAAAGTAAACCCCTTAGCAGTACAAACATAGGCATCTTCAGGATCGCAACTGACAAAGGACAATGAACAGCATATCATGTCCACCATGCAAGCGATAATGGTGATAATTTATTTAACTAATTGCATGCAGCGTGATGCTGCAAATAAGAGGGCAGAGCTTGCATGGTGGACATGATATGCTGTTCATTTTGGCATTGTTGCAGCTAGCCTATATATCCAAGAACTAGTGATGGCAGGGATACTTGTAATTATTTTGCCCGCCATCTCTTTACCTCCTTGCTGGGGGAGAATCTCTGTCCTGTTTGCTTCTCCTAATTCCAGGGGAAGGTGAACTCCCCATCTTCCAATAGTTGATTGTGAGATTGGTTTGCATTTATTTTTTAATGATGTTTGCTTGTGACATAGATGATTATTCTTTCTGGAAGAATGGTGAGAAAGAATAATAATCTAGGTTCACTTGTTTTTGAAACAAAGATGGATAGAAAATGGGGAATGATGGAAATGTCATAATCACCAAAGTGATTTCATTTCTCACTAGGCCAGGATTTGAAAAAGACATTTCAATGTTTATTTTGTTAGAAAATGATCACAATTTTTGATGAAAAAGAATGGGAATACACTGTTGGCACTTTATAGAATACCTTTCATGTATAAGTGTATAATGTAATCTAAAATAAGCTCTTACATTAGGGGCGGGGTTGGTAATTAAATATCCTCTGAATAGTTTTTAGAAATTTGAAAGTACATGCTAATGCCATCTAGTGGTGACTACTGAATATATGAGAATGTTTAAATGTCAGATTATATAAATACTGTATGCTCTCTAAAATACAGAATTCAAAACAATTGAATTGGGCCAATCATTTCAATTTAAAAGAATATGTTGAGATTAGTGATCTAATTCAGTTGTTTTGAAAGTATCTAACAAGAAAATCTGTTTCTCATAGATCAAATTTATGTCTCAAATTAATTACTAGTCTGCAACATTACCTTTGAATCTAGCTGATCTCTCTTTAAAGGTAGTTAATATTGGGACAGCTTAGAAAAAGGTCAACCTGATAACTGTATAAGAGCTCAGAATCCATTTGAAATGCAGTCTATAGAGCTTTTTCATTGTATTTTTAAAGTGGGATTGGCCGGCAGAAATTATTTCTCCTTCACTGTGAACTTGCTTTTTTCCAGGTGTGGTCCAAGGGATAATAACTGGAATCAGAGGTCTGTGCAATGGTCTTGGCCCTGCTCTCTATGGCTTCATATTCTTTCTCTTCCATGTGGAACTTAATGAGTTGGCACCAGTTCAGGATAAGGCTTCTAGGCAGGATCCAAGTGATGAGGTAAAATAATTACAAATCTTTCTTGGAATAGTGGCTCTTAATAGTTCTTGATAAGGCATCCTATGACTGATATTTTTTCATTTTAAACTGCAAGACATAACATGGAGTGAATCAGCAATTGATTCTTTTGGTGGATTTTCTAGCTAAAACATAACCTTTTTGTACTCTTGCCTGGTTTTTTTCATATTGTTCAGCTGTTGCCAGCCATTCTTCTCCTTGGCCTTCTAACAGCTCCTGTTCTGTGTCAGTCTCTTGGATTGAAGAGTGCTTCTTTGAAACATAAACTTATAGTATCTGTGTAATTTTGACAGTTCACAGGTTAAAATACGGTATTTTAGGATCTCAGTTTCTAAAATCTAATATTGCGTTAAAACAGTTATTCAGTATAAATAATTATAATTTAATTCAGAGAAGTTCTCACCCTCCTAGGCCTGGTGCAGCACATGTAGAAGAATACGAGGCAATTTTTGTCTTGATTCTTTTCAAAATATCCAGAACCAAAAAGACTTCCTACTGGTTTAGTATTCTTCCTCAGTTCACTATGGGATGAAATAGGAGTGTGATTGCTGGAGAAGACAAGTTTCTAACTGTCGACAACAGCCAAAATCGATGCAAGTCTGTTGATGTTGGCAGCACAGTTCTAGTAGTGACACACATAACTGTTGATTTACTGGACAGTTAAAGATGCGGATGTGAGTGGCTTCATTGTTCACATTATACTAATCTGTGGTTGCTCAGTCTTTCTCATTTTCTTTTTACAGAATGCAGTCATACCTGGCCCTCCTTTCCTTTTTGGAGCATGTGCAGTCCTCCTAGCCTTTCTGGTTGCCTTATTTATCCCCGAGCACAGTAAAGCCGCCAATACCAGAAAGCACAGCAACAGCATCAACAGTATCCAGAGCAACAGTCCAGATCGGGGTAGTGATGAGGATATTGAGCCTCTGCTTCAAGACAGCAGCGTATGAAAGGAATTTTCTTCTAAGATTAACAGAGACAGCTATTGGGCAGGCAGAATCCATGCACTGAGTTCTGAATCCAGAGCAGTTCTCTTCTGGAGTGAACTTTCGATCTGTCAGAAGCTTTGCACATTTCACTCACCTAAGATATCATGTATAAGTGGCCATTGGTATTCAATTAAGGCTGATTGCAACCACTTACTGTGGATTTTCTGTAGAACAGTCCAAAGCAAGTTTTTCTTTTTGTATCCATGCAATTATTGTCGAACCCAACACTGAACTGAGAATGTGGAATTGCAGTATCAGAGAAAGAGGATCTTCTGATGTAGTTAAATACTTGAGTACCCAAATTCACTGTGAGTAAACAGTAACCCTGCTAGGTCCTGTCCCTCATCCTCCCCCCATCCCCAAATGTCTTCATTGCTTCTCTACTCTTGTAGCTCGTGGGGATTTGGGAAAAAAACACTCCATTTCAATAAATATTACTGACAAAAGTTTCTATCACAATCCCACTCCATCAATACACTCTTATCTCTCTCTCTCTTAACATGCTGCCTGGTGGATTGAATATTGCTGAACTATTTAAAAGTGTGCAGGGAATGTCAATTGAAAGATAAATTATTGGTGCATTTTCAACCCTTGTTTTTAAACTCTCTAACTGAGATGTTAATTAAAAGGGCTCCTATTGAAAACCTGAGCAAGGCAATGATGATAATTCCTCTGATAGCGTTAGTGATGCTCACTTCTGGCACAACCAGCGTAGCCGGTTCTGACACATGAACTAATTAAATGGGTGCTGAGGCAATTTATATTGATGTGTATTTATTGCATCATCTGTCATCTTTTAACTGCCATATGAAACATTTCTGGCCCACTTAATTTCACTCCTGCCTTAACTGCTATTTAGTGTACATTATTATCAGCTATATTTAGCCTTCGTATCAATCTCTGAAGAATCATAGAATTATAATTGTGAAATGTCTATCTAAAAAGACTTTAAAAGATTATTTAGTTTCTACAAAGTACCATGTTACAATTTTTAGAAGCATTTTTGAAATTGCACAGGTTTCTGTGTATTTTGTGGCAGTAAAAATGGAACATTACACAAAAATCTAACGAAGTACTCTTATGAATGTTTTATATGTAGATATTTATAAAAAGTTCTACTTTTTTTCCTGATGGGGTACTGTGTAAATCTTGTATTTATAAATGTCATGAGGGCACTGACAGATATACAGCTTTTATAAAGGATTGTGTAATGACGGAACAAAATTTAAATATATATATATATATATTTTGAAACTTGGTCCGCCTTAAGCAAAGATATCAAACCTTTTGTACTATGCAGTTTGGTTTTTAAGTTAATAAGCTTCCTAATGCATAATAAATTTGCGAACTATATTATTCAAGGTTGTAATATGATTTTGGTATCTTTTGTCTCCTGTTAAAAGTATTTATGAATTATTTATATAATGTAGGGTTTTGCTAACTAGTTACTACAAACTGGCCCAATATCAAGAAATCTTTCTCAGAACGAATTCTTATTTATGCTACATGGGATGCTTTAAGAAAAGCATCTATCAATAGAAATAATTCAAAGTAAACTGAAGGGATTTCAACCCCTATCGATTGCTTCTCAAAGACAGAAAAAAGACAATTGGGACTTGTATTTTGGTTGTTAAGTGATGTAATTAAGCTAGTAGTCACATAATCAGACCCTTTTACTATAGTCATTAAGCCAATCACAGTCGTTAAGCAAATTGCATGGTTAAGTGAATCATGCAATTCACTTAAGTGAATCTGGTTTCTCGATTTTGTCAAAAGCTGGCTGAGAAGATTGCGAATTGTGATTACATGACCACAAGATGCTTCAACCATTATAAATGGGAATTGGGTGCAAAATGCCCAACCAGTTATGGTTGTTCTGGTCAATGTGACCATGTGACTAGAACAGCCATAACTTTGAGGATGGGTTGTGAGTTTCTGGGACCATCGTAACTTCAAACTGTCATTAAAAGAAGGCATCAAAGTCAAGGACTATCGATTCAATGTTCTCTTAGTTTTGCTGCAGGAACTACCTGTGCAAGCAAATCTGATTGATTAAAAAAGGATCTTTTATCCAATCAAAATTGTCATGTTCAAATAGTCCAAATAATTCATCTGCCTTGCAGGCAGAAGGTCCAACTTTAAATCCTTGGTTTCTCCAGACAGCACTAAAATTTTGTTTATTTGGATTGAACTTATTTGGCGTAAGGTTTTTTCCATGTTGTTCTTGTGCCATATCCGTCATCAGACATTAGCGATCCTATTTTTATCAGTAGCTGCATGAAAAAAATGCTGTTTGTCCAAACTAGCCCTTAGATTTTGAAGCCATGATGTTCTGCCTGGACTCATTTGCCTTCAGTCTTTCCTTGGAAAATTAAATGACATATGTCAAATTTTTCTGGGTGCTGCATCACATGTCCAAAATATTCTAACTTTTGCTTTTTTATGGTTTTGATGATTTACCTTGGCTTTCCCAGGTGGCATATCACCACCTCATTTCCGATTTTGTCAACCCAACTTATATGTAACTGCTGCCTATAAATCCACATTTCAAATGCCAGTGGCTTCAAGTGGCATTCTGTCAGATCCCAACTCTCCACTCCATAGAGCAGGATTGGATCCCCTGTGTTACTATTATTAATTCAACAATTGGTAGCCAAAATGAACTAACATATATGCTAAGAGTGCAATGGTGCAATATTTCTCAATTATATGGGAATATACTTTTGTACGCTACAAACATGAAAAGCTGAAAAAAAAAATCCTTTGAGTTGAATTGCTAGAAACCCATGTTTTCTTGGCAATAGTTAAGTGATTTCCAATGTCATTTTCCTGGTCTACTAAGAGCAGCCCCTGCTTAGCAAATTTGAGGATAAGACTGGTTTGATTATGCTATCTGTAGAGAACTGTAAAGTTGTGGCTAAATGCTTTTGATAAAAGTCAAGCATCAAGGGGATTGGGATTTTATTACTGCATCTCTTATAAATGTCAGAGCAGTTCCCATGCTTTACTGGTTGTGAGAAAATCACAAAACACAACTGGAGACAGTAAACAAGAGGTTTATTATCAAGCTTTTGCAAAAGGGAATTCTGCTCAAAGCAGAAGACATCTTTCCCAGGCTGGGGAATATATATACAGGTTCAAATATACAGTCTCTGCCCCTTTCCTGGGCTCACAATCTATCCAACTGCATCATTCCCTACACCATACCCATTGCTTTTCCCCTTGTTCCTGTTTCCCTTTCTTTGGAAACCACCCTTGTTCTCATGGCATCTTCCTGTTATGTTCCGCTGAACACAATGGATCATTAATCAGTTCCATTCAGGTCAGAATGACCCTAGCATCTCTTACATTAATTTTCAAGCCAAAATGCAAACCCCTATGTTCCAGCCAAAAATCTGACATTTTTAACTTTGCAGAATAACAAGTTACAAAACATGATACGCTTATATAAGTGTTCAGATATCTTTCTAGAAAGTCACATTACGAACAAAAATGGAGTCTCTTTGTTTTTATACTTTTTAGGTGTAACAGGCAAATACATAAGTTATTTCTTCATATAACACTGGTTAAAAATATCTGAACATCTAGATCGCCTTTCGATTTTTTTTTTTTTTAAATCTGAGGGTCATGTTAGGTTATCAACATCTGTAAAGGATTGCAATATCCCTGCTACTAGAGAGAAGTCATCCTGGGAAAATAGTCCTTTACTAAACCAGTAATATTTATCAACAACCCCAAATATGTGTTAGAATTGATCTTGCCTTAGACACTGATCATTAATGTTTTATTAAGCTAAAATGTGAAACTTGAGCGTTAATGTTTGAAACTGGCTTTTTTATTTCTTTGGAAAAAGCAAACCCATATAGAGAACCCTTTTATCTGCATAGCAAAATATTATGTTTCAATAATGTAATTCACCCAGCCCAAAAGAACAGAGTGCTTAATTTTCAGTCCCTTAGTTTAGATTAGAAATATACTTCACTTAGTAAAGTGGAATAATCATTTAACATTTCCGCATACCCTGAAATAAGCTCTGGATTACTATAATGATGCAGATACAACATGGAAGACTCTTTCTTTTAGGACAAAACTCTTACTGCTTTAATATAAGTAGTGAAATTATTTTATTTAGCAATAAAGAGCAGGGCAGCATATTTTGGGCCATTTTAGATATTAAAGTTAAATGAAAGCATCCTAAGTGTGGAATTTTCATTGCATCAAATACATGGAGTGCAGGATATATTCATTCATGATGCCTCTACTGCCAGTGTCAAACACAATGAGAATAATGAGGAACTAGGATTATGAACCCCAAATTTCAACCTTGTATTATGCACCAGAAGAGTAATCATACGCAATGCCACATTCATGAATTTGTGAATGCCTGGTGCTATACAAAATCAACAAGGGACAAGACTTTCCTAAAGAATTCAGTAGGATTGTGGAAGACAACATTGGAAGTCAACTAAGACACATCATGCAAGGAGCCATCAAGTGTGGCATATACCAAGGTTAGGTTACTAGCCCCTTCTTCTGGTCTGCATAGATTTGCACCCCCTGAGCCAGATAATCACACGGGTAGGTTATAGATACTAGTTCAAGAGTGGAACTAGCCTCAGCCTCTTCCTCTACATTAGAGGTCCCCAAGCCCTGGTCCCCAGCCCAGTATTGGCCAAAGCCCATTGGGAACCAGGCTGCATGAGTAACAGATGAGCAAGTGAAGCTGCATATGTGCAAGCGAAACCCTCCCCTTCCCTGCTGCCGCCAGTCCACAGATTTGGAAAGATTGGGGACTGCTGCTCTACATGGATGATGACATGTTATATGCTAAGAATGAACAAAATATTGACTCGCTGATCTACTTCACATAGATCTACAGTGAGAACATTGGGATGTGGACTGGAGAAGTATGGCTGAATAGTAGTCAAGAGAGTGAAGATAGTTAAGACGGATGATATGGAACTACCAACAGGGCCACATAGCAGACATACAGACCAGTGGTGGTATGCTACCGGTTCGGACTGGTTTAGCCTAAAATGGTACTAAAAAAAGGCCTCCGATCAGTTGAGGGGAGGAAAAAAAGCCTCAGATGATCAGCTGAGAGGATAAAAGAAAAGTGCATGGATGGGTGGGAGGGTCGCTCCTAGCTTTTTGTTTCTTCATCCTCTCAGCTGATTGGTGCGTAAAGGGCATGTGCATGCACACGATCGACCACTCACCAAACCAGTAGTGGCACAGGTAGGATCCCACTAATGATACAGACCACTTATAAATACCTTGGAATCACCTAGTCACATGGGAACCACAGTGAGAAGACAAAGACAGCAACATTCAAGTACCTTTAAAGCAGGGCTGTCAAACTCGCGGCCCATGGGCTGGATGCATCATGCGCTGGCTATGCCCACGCCCGGTTTAGCAAAGGGGAAGAAAGTCACGATATGTCACGCAATGACGCTGTGACGATGCGAGCTGACACTCCTGCTTTAAAGGATAAGAGATGTCATGCTTGAAGTTTAGCGTCTACATAGGCAGATCTGGGTAGTTTTCTTCACAGTAATACTTTTCTTTGTTTGCTCCTGATTTTTGGGAGGTCTCCCTTGTATTTACCAGCTCCTACTCTATTTAGCATTTTAAAAAAAGCCAAAATCATCTAAATGTGTCATCTTGCTCAGCCAGAAAAACTAGAATAGAGATGGACAAAATTTAGTGGTTGCCCAATGCAATTAACGGGAAGGGACCATGGATGATGGCTTGGATTGTATCACTTATATGAGTGTTTATATTGCATTTCCCAAAGTCGTTCATATGCAACAGTTTAAAATAACAACCCCCTCCAAATATATAGTGTATAATTTTACAAATGAGGAATGAGGCTAATTGAACAGAATGAGAGACAATCAAAAAGTACTATATTTTCTGCATTTACCATTTAGATGGCTTTTTCCATTTTGAAATATAGTTGTAGGTTTGAAATAAACGGCTAATCTCAAGTGCAGCTCATGCACCTACATCCACATCTGAGGCTGTTACTTTACATGGCAGTTTGATAA